GGCTGCAACCTACAGCCTTTAAACTAGTGATTAAAATGCTGACAGTAAACTCGTCAGTCCAGATGTTACCACATTACTTTGTGATACTTAGAGTTAAAACAACTGAGACAGGCTGATTAAAATAACAGCTGTAAGTTCTCTCATTCCTTATATCAAGACTGGAGATCACACTACTGATTTCAGTTCATTTAATATGTGAGTGCACAGATTCATTCTCAACTGGACATAAACGATGATCAAAGGTTGTATATATGATGAAGTCATCAAATCCCAGCCTCTAACACAGTGCGCTGAATCTTAGCTTTGAATGTTCAGTATATTCTAATCAGTGCAATTTAAGCATTCACTGAACCTACAGTATCTACACCTGTGTGGCAAATGTGTGGTAAAGACACAGATAATGAAATGTAATTATTAATACAATATACATCATGAGAAACAAAAGCTGAAATTGATTCAGTTTAGTACTTTTCTCTGTATGCTCTGTGATTATAAAAGCCTTAAATTCTGTGATATATACTGTAAATGATTTTCACAGAGGTCTTAAAGTAGTTAAATCACTGCTGATAGTCTGGTTGTTTATATTTTCACGTTTTTGTGTCTGTAGGGCTGTTTGATGATGATTTGGACTCCTCTGGGAGATGAGGACACACCCACATCTGTTCCATACTGCAGCCATTGATGGTGTTACGGCTCTGAGTCAGCTTTGGGGCATCAGACGCACACACTGGAAATTGTAGGCAGATAGCATAGGCCTGTGGATCGAGTTGAATGAGTCTCATTCATTAACATAGGCACAGCTGTAAGAACCAAACTGGCCATTGTACATAAATCATGTTTCTATTGATGACTTTTCTATGAAAACGAATTTCTTTGTAAGAACAATAGTGAATGAAGCCCAGTGGTGTCTGGAAATGTTTCTCTGCCAGTGTATTGATACCCAGTTAACCATACCTATTTTAATGTAGTGGACCTTTGATATTAGGTATCGTGATATAATATGCGTAGATTATATATTCAGAGTCTTAACAATTTTACATTGCAGATCATTATTCTGTTCCATAATTTATAGACACCGCTCTTGCTGATTGAATCTCTGCTCAACCTGTTACTGACACTTTGCCAGTTAACCTAACAATTTGGGAACTTTTCCCCTGCTGTTTCTTTGTAATATTACACAGTAAAACTACCAACTTTTTGTGCAATGTTTGTGCCACCATTTTTAAAATTACCTAATAGTTTTCTTTTCTTAAAATCGTACAGTTTCTCAGTTTAAACACATGATATTTTCTATCATTAGCTGTGAAAAACATTAGTTGGATTTATGAGATAATTCCAAATTTGGATTCTATTAACATTTTACACAACGTCTCAACACTTTTGGAACTGGTTGTAAAAAGTGTCCATGTCGATGGTCCTGAGCCACATACAGAACTTCAAAATCTATTCAGCCACAGATTTCAAGATGTGGGCAAAAGCTTCCAGAAGTTCATACAGTCACAATAGCAACATGAAAGAACAGGGAAGTGGGAGAGACCACAGTTAAGTGCTCCATCAGAAGAGGCAGCTGGGTCATGTTTAAGAAAGGCAAGACAGCTATGTTTTTTTTTCCCTCATCAAGCACAAAATCTTTCATGGCAATTTCCAAGTTCCCTTCATGCTGCCATTTACTTTCACCATGATAAATGCATCCACTTTAGTCAATTACTGACATTATCAGCTCTACTTAGGTTACTGGGCAAATATCTTAAAAGGACATTAAAATAATACTTTTCCATTAGGCATCAGCATATAATGTTGGTTTATCAACAGCAACAGATGTCTTATACAGGAAAGGATACAATAACAGTTGAATCAGTTGCAATATGATATGAGATGGCATCATTTGCACACCCCTTGAAGAATGGTGCATATGTTTGACAAATTTCACAACCATTAAATGTTAGAGACGACTCTGAAAATGAGGTAATGTTCACTTCTAAAGTAAATACGTCTGCTTGTGCTCACAGTCTCTACATTTCAAAAATAAGACAATAATAAGACAAAACTGCTAAGTGACACAAGAGGCTAGGGCAGGGGTGTCCAAACTTTTTTCACTGAGGGCCACATACATAAAAATATAGGAGGGGCTGGGCCACTTACTAGAAATTAGGTATATAACCTTAACTTTAGTGTATTAAAGTTAGAAAAATCACTTAAAAGTGGTCGAATATGTTATATTGTTGAATATAATTAAAGACAAAACTGCCTTCATCACAGCTTTCCATAAATGGATCTTTATTGATTTATTCAGAAAAAGCTTTGGTAGCTCATTCTCAGAACAGCAGCCTCAGATTTCTTCTTAGACAGAAGATTTACAGCACAGAGAAAAAACAATAAAGGGGAAAATGGGACGGGTACATTTCAAGTTTGTTATTTAAGTTATTAGGCTTAGCAACACACCTATTAACGTTCGTTTGAAACCGTTATACATAACAGACTGAACTGGACTTAATAACGAGGAGTGCATATAATTTTAGTAAATTATTCTGGTGAGCAGAGATGGGCAGTAACGCGTTACTTGTAACACGTTACTGTAATCTGATTACTTTTGTAAAGTAAGGGATTACTATTGCAAAAACGGTAATTAGATTACCGTTACTTTCCCGTAGGAACGCTGCGTTACTAAAACCGTGATTTTTTTTGCGAGAATGTCTCATGACAGTGACGTAAGCGAGTGCGACGTTGTGACAACAGCTGTGTGCAGATCAACAATGGATCTATATCGAGTGCGGAGAGAGTATGAGCGTGCAGCGTTTAAAGCGTGGAAGTACTGACCTTACTTTGAGTTTGATTCCATAAAAAGTGACAAAAACATTAGCGTCCGTTGTGCGTGGGAAGAAAACTTCTTTTTACAGCGAAAAAAACCCCTAAACTTCCAAGCAAGCACCGAGTGCGCAACGACGTAATGGGAAACTCACAGAGAAACTCGCGGATTCTTCACTGACCGCGGCACACCTGCACCAGGGTAAACCTCCGCCTACCCCCGTCCTGCTTTACAGGTGAAAATAGAGCAACAGGACCGCTGAGTCTTTGACTTTATTTATTTTCTGCTGTGTTTTACTTGCATCTATTTGAAAGAGTGAGTGTAAACACAAAAAATATTTTATTTTATGTGCTGGAATGTGCAGAAAATAGGTTTAAATGTTAAACTAATTTCATTCAGTCAGAGAATGTTGCATATAATTAAATTTTTGCTTGATGCATAAAGTTAAAAGATTAAAACTGATAAAACAAGTTTAAAAAGAGACTTTTCCATTTGATTACATTTTGTATGATGGATTATGCAGAAAAAGTAGAATTGGGCTGAAAGATCTATCGCTTTATCACCTATTCAGGTTGTAAATCGTGTTTTTAAAAAGTAACTAAGTAACTAAGTAATTAATTACTTTTGAAAATAAGTAATCAGTAAAGTAACGGGATTACTTTTTTGGGGAAGTAATCAGTAATTAGTTACTGATTACTTTTTTCAAGTAATTGACCAACACTGCTGCTGAGTATCAGCTGCGCTGGGTGTGTAAATCGGGCCATCCAGCCGCGGTGCTGATCGTCACTCGTGCTAAAAATCCGGACAAATGTCACTTGATCAAGGAGCAAATCTGCATCAGATGAGATCAGCTGACTTTGCGTGTGCGTGCGCTGTGCACAGCGGTGTGTACTCTGTGTGTTAACAAGAAAAACGCATATAAGAAAGTGGTGTGCAAAAGCAGGGTAGTGACAGAATTGATGCGCATTATTGATATTTGAAGCATGTGTACCTGCACATTAACACACGGGTACTGTCCACTCCCTGCAAAAAAATAGCAGCTGTGCGGCGTCTGTGGCATCGGTGCTCTCATCACATGCGATGGAGTAAAAATCAAAAGCACAGCTTTATCAGACAGTTGCAGTTTAATGTTGACTGACGAGTCTTCAATGCGTCGCACAACTGTATCTCTGGACATGCTGACATTGTTGAAGTCCTGCACTTTTTCCGGGCACATTAATTCGGTGACTTTAACGAGGCAGTGTTTTATGAGGTCTCCATCTGAAAAAGGCTTGCCATGTCTTGCGATGAGTTGGGCGACCTCATAGCTGGCTATTGTAGCCTTTTCCTGGACCTTTTGAGCACGAAAAAAAATACTGTTGCTGACCACGCAGGAGAGCTACCCTGTGCTTTAATTTCTGCTCTCTCTCAGCACCAGTGTAGGATGCATAGGCCTGATGTTGGGTTTCATAATGACGTAGTACATTATACTCTTTCATAACTGCCATAATTTCAGTGCAGATCAAACAGACACACTTCCCCTTGAATTCTTTGAAGAAATATTCACTCTCCCACCATGTCTGAAATTTTCTGCATTCACTTTCTACCTTTCGCTTCTTTGGTTCTGCCATGTTTAGTAACTAACTTGGGGTAAATTTCTTCTGTGATTGTCCTTTTTGGTGGAGCAACTGCCTTGATCAACAGTAGCTCCCCCTGGTGTTAAAACTAAGAAGTGCAATACACTCAAGCAAAAGTTGAAGTGCGGGCCATATTCTATTCTATTTATAAAATTACTTGCGGGCCAATTAAAAATGGATCGCGGGCCGCAGTTGGCCCGCAGGCCGGAGTTTGGACACCCCTGGCTTACAGGAAGGAAGAGAGCACCCTGACACTTTGGTGCCGAAGGAACCATCTTACCCTCAACGTCACAAAGACAAAGGAGTTGATAGTGGACTTCTGGAGATGTATAAAAGCACACACCCCCATCACCATCAATGGCGTTGCTGTGGAGAGAGTGAGCAACTTCCATTTCCTAGGTGTACATCTGGCGGAGGATCTCACATGGTCAGTGTCACATGAACAAAACAGTGAAGAAGGCGCAGTATAACAGCAGTCTGGCGAGGAAGGAGCGGCTTGCAGGTCCAGCGGGCATACGGTGTGGAGGTTAGCCAGATAACTCGAAGCCAGTCAATTAAATCAAACAACAGACCTTTATTCGTTGTCAGTTTTTGCATGATCTTTGTTGGTCAAAAACCCCTATTAATGAAGACTTATGGACCAGAATTTGATAGTAAAAATACTTTCTTTTCGATCACTAAGCAGGGATATAGGTTTGGCTCCAGCAACCTTTAATAGGATAAGCGGGAAAGAAACAAATGGAATAAAAGCATATTATTACTATTATTAGTAGTAGTATTTGTGATTTGAAGACAACCAGTAAGAAGGCTAACTAAATGGCAAAGCTGTGGGATTAAATAACTGTGTACTTCTTCTCACTCCTTTTCAATATGTAACTGAATCAGAACAGTTAAAGCAATATTGAAATGTATTAGCTTTATTTTGTGTAGCATTTTTTCTTCTTTTCTTTGCCAAATGAACTTTGTATATTGTTTACGTGATCAATTTTTTTTTACAAACAACAACAACAAAAGCCAGTGTGAAAATGCCTATAATTACTATAGACAAACTACAACTCTGTTAGGACTGAAATGTATAATTATGTCAATTACATATGGTTGTATAATTTTAACAATTGTGACTGAAAAAATTAATAATCCCTTAAATTAAATTTTCTTCTACAATATATTTTCACATGGATACATATTTTAGAATTTGCCAATCCACTGGGATTTTCCCACACAGCCATCTGTTTGGTTTAGAGAGAATGGTTCAAAAAAGACAAAATACCCTGTGAATTGCAGTTATCTGGGAGAAAAAAAACAGAAGTACTTTGGGACAGCACATTAAAGTGAAAAAAGCATGTTTAAAAATGCAAATATGATATTATGTAGGCTTGTCCGTAGGCTTTCATTTTTTCTTTTTTCTTTTTTTTACTAATAAAAGCAATGAATTAATGTCAGTTCAACGTGGACTTATGTTCATCACCCAATAAAATGCAAATATATTGGAATTCATGCAAAGGGACCCAAATGGAGACTTTAGTGATGGTCTTTATAACTAAAATTTAACCTTTTAGCAAAGCAGGAAGTCCACAAGTAACCAATGGAAACTACAGGTATAAAAGAGAGACTAATACATCATATTCATGTTAATGATTGAATATTGTTTTTCAAACTTTAGTCCTGCTAGTCTTCAACATCGATCCACATTGAAAACATGATTGCCAAGAACACAGTGACTGCTGTCAAATAAAAAATCACAAAATACTTGTTGATTTTTTTAACCATTCTTGTCCAGTAGCCAGACTTCCTGTTGCTGCTGAGTAGAGTCACTGTTTTCCCAGTCTCCCGCAGCTCATCTGACACTTTTTCCAGAGCAAAGGCCACCTCTGTCAGTTTACTGCTGCTACCCTAAAAAAGGAGGTTTTGTAGAAAGGTAATTGACAAGATTTTAGGTCAACTCTTGATTCAACACACTGGTTTGTTTCCACGTTGATTAAATAAAAGTGTTTGCTTCTGATATATATATGCTAGGGTTAAGAATAATGCTAGCATAATCCCTTTCAATAGTTTTGATATTATACTTTTTTGAAATTAAATAAAATGAATTCCAACCTTTTGGGTCAGAGATGATACAGACAAAGACACAGATGGTGTTTCCTCAGCAGATACCCCAGAGACTGAGGCACAATGACTATTTCTCTTTATGTCTGGAGTAAGAGAAACAAAGATAAATCAAACACAATTAAAATTAACTGGTGGATACAACCTGCCACTAAACACAAATCTGCAAAAGTGGTCGATAGAGTTTAAATCCAAATATTTGTAGAGTGATTGCTATTATCAAGCACACCTTGGATTCCATCTGTCTCATTATCTTGGGCTGCAGAGTCTTTGTCAAGCAGATGCATCACCAAAATTGTCTCCAAGAGGCTGAGCAGCATCAGAGAAAACCCCCCAATGCAGTAGACAGCTGAGGAAAGCAGCCAGCATTAATGTGGATAAATTACTTGATCACTCAGTAGCATGATTTATTCATTAAATGCAGTCAAATACACCACACTTCTTTACCTATAAGTGGAATTCTGTTTGAAGAGCTGGGCAAGATCTCATTGAGAAGAAGCTGCATCACCGTGACAGCAAGCAGCACAGTGATTTTGAAGCCAAGTTTCTCACCTCCACTGTCTGATACAAGGAAGGAGGCCATATCCAGAACCAAGAAGAAGAAGACTGGCAGCAAGAAATTAGCAATGTAGAGGACAGACCTCCTCTTCATGGTAATCTGTGAAATAAGGTGGTTAATCATCCTACTTCATACATGTAAAGATGCAGAAAGAGCTTCATATTTTTTTCACCGCTTCAGCTGCACTTTCTCACTCATTTTACAACTCTCTTCTCTCCCACTGTCTCCACTCCTCCCTGAACTCTATGCAACATTCTTCTTTCTTCAACTTCTACCATTTAATCCTTGCCTCTGTCTTCATTTGCTTTCTCTTCTTGATATCCAGAGTCATCCTATTCTAAACAAAAACCAGGGTAATGGGTAACAGAACAGCTTTCATGTGTTCTGTGTTTCTGTTACCAAAAATACTTACAGTGTAGACAACCATAAGCTGATTGAAGTCAAACTCATTGACAGTTCTGTTGGTGACTGACATGTTGACAAAGAGCCACTCATACTGTGTCTGCATAAAGTCACGAGACCACTCTGTGACTGTTTTATTGCTGTTGTCGGGCTGTAACTTTATTTCTGCATCTGAAGTCGAACATAAAAAAATTACTGTGAGAAGATCAAGAAGGAAAGAATATATGTTCTGGCATGTGGTAGTGTGTGTTTATGAACAGCATACATTAACAGAACCTGTTATGTCCTCACCAGAGTACATAATAGACTTGAAGGATATGTTGCACTTCTGAAAGTCAAAGGGGAATTTGTACACGTGCAGCTTGCAGGTGCTCACCACCACCTGGTCATTCCTGTATTCGATCACACCATTGTGGTTGACACAGAGATAAGGACTCGGAGACGCTTTATCCTTCTCTGTCCTGTGTGAGAAGAAATAAGAATTGATTATGTTACCAATGGCAGCATCAGAAAAAGACAAAACAAATACATGACATTTAGTTCTTTTCTTCTCTTTTGGTCACTCCTCCCGTGTTATGAGCATTGACAAACTGTAAGCACTAAAAATGCTACTTTTGACTTTTGGCTTCCTGCAAGAATCAAATCACATGATGCACTGAACAGCCACATCTTAATTACAACCCACCTCAACATAATCAAGTGGAGAGACTGAGTGGGTCTTTGAGTGTGAGTTTATGCATATATATATCAAACTTACATCTCTACAATAGTTATATCGGGCATCCACAAATATGCAGTAGGAATTGTCATATCCTTAATTCCACAGAATTGATTTGGGTCCCACTTAATGTACTCATTTGTCCATTCCTACACAGGGCAATGGGAGGAAAGTGATCAAATCAAGAAAAAAAATCGAAAGATGTAAATTCAAGCAATTTAAATTTCAACAAAACAATGAAAAAAATTGTATTTCTAAGAGAAAACTCACCAAATAAACCCAAATGTAAGAAATTAAGGTCTGGTCAATTTCTCTCTGAAAAAAATAACAATGTTCATTTAGGTAGCTTCACACTTCAGCTAAAGCATCAGCAAATACATCTCTGTGAATTATTAATGTAGGGTCTACCTTAAAATACAAACCGCCTTGAGGCAACTGTTGCTGTGATTTGGTGCTGTGTAAATAAAAGTGAATTAAATTGAATCTCATATTGGGTAAGCTATAAAATTTTCTTTAACCTGTACACTGTTGCTGCTTATCTGCAAGCTGCTTTTCAACCCGACTCCAGCTTTTTTTTGTAGTTAATTCAGTTAATTGGCGATTCTAAATTGCCCATAGATTTGAGTGGGAATGGTTGTCAGATTGGCAACCTGTCCAGGCTGTACCCTGCTAATGCCTATGGTATCTGGGATAGGCTCCAGCAGGACTACATAATGGTTTAAATGATTATCTCCTCTTTGGCAGATGGGTTTTTTTGCCATTATTAAGAAACACACACAAACTATTTGGCAATGAAAATATTCATTATCATTCAGAGAAAAACACACACATGCACGTAGCTTAAACAATGTACCATATCCAGGATGGCATAGAGTTTCATTTCAAGCAACACATCTGTATGATGGCTGTTGTTTATAATGGGCCGGCTCATAGTGTACTTAAGACTGTCTTTGCGCAGGTTCAGGCGGCGTACAATCGCCTGAAAATTACAGAATTTCTCCACTTCATTATCTGAAATGACATCAAAACACATTCTATATCAGCGATTTCTTTTATGAGATGAAAAACACAAAGAAACTCCCATTTCTGATTTTCAACAACAAAAAAAACAAACTTCAGAAGTCTGTTGCTCACCAGACATCATTATTGCTTATTAGCTTTTGGCGCATTTGCAACAGATGAAGTAATACCTCAGAACCTTGATATAAACCCTGATATATCCAGAGGCCTTTTGTTCACTAAAAGGTCATGATTAAGTTTTATTTAATCAATCCTTTAATAAAAATATTTTAAATAGATTGATATTTACAGACATTGATTTTCATTATTTTCTCCATTACATAAAATTATTTTATATTTTAGTATTGCTGATTATTAGATCCTGAGTGAATACTACATCACTTATTGTCATGCTTAGTACTGTGCAAAAGTCTTGAGTCACCATCTTTTCTTTATATTTTGCTAAAAAAAAAAGTGGGTAATGGGTGGAGATACTATTGAAACAACTACAAACATGTGTGAGAATACAGTATATGAGACAAAACCAATTCTAAGAAGCTTGAAAGTCAATATTTGGTATGACCACCTTTATTCTTCAACACAATCTGGACTCTCTTAGGCAAGTGTTAATGCAATTTCCTCAAGTAGTCTTCAGAAATAGTTATCAGGGGGACATTCAAAGCATTCTGAAGGTTTGCTGCCTTTCAGTCCATTCTCTTTCAAGATGATCCCATACTATCTCAATAAATTGGTGATTTGGGCTCATGAAAGGCAAAAATCCATGACTGATAATATCCCTTTTTGTTTTGTTTTTTAATATCCAGTTGTGCTTTTTCAGCACTGGTAGGATATTCGGCATCATTGCCATGTTGAAAAATGAAGCTGTTGCCTATTCAGATTGCATTGCATTGATCAGGACTAACAGTACTCTTCATACTTCTATCAGTTTTGACAAGATCCCTAACACCATTCACTGAAATACAGCCATAAACCATAACAAAGCCAATCTTCCACTAAAACCATTCTGATGGGCTTTGGCAAAATGGCAGAATGGACTGAAGGATCAGTTTCATTTTCAAATTTTTCAGATTTTAAGTACACACTGCACACCATGCTGACATATGTCTTTGCCTAATAGCTCTTTAAGAATTCGTTTGTTTGGTGAAAACATTTTTTTTTTTTTGATGTCCTCAACTGTGTTATCCTGTGTTTTTGTGAGACGCAAGTTGCCTCTTTATTGGCCTTGTCATAGATCAGTAGTAAGTGGGCTCACAGAAACAAGAGAACATTTCTCATAAAATAGTTAGGTCCAAAGACTGGACTGAAAATGAGTGAAAAAGCAGTCAAACTAAGGGGTGGTTCAGACGTTTGCACAGAGACAGACCGACAGATATATAGATAGACTGTCTTTACTCTTTACCTCTGATAGTGGTTTCATTGATCATCTGTTGATCATCTTGTAGCTCTGAACTGGAGCCATTTTCACCTGGCATGGAAGAGTACAGTAATTTATGCCTAAAGGTATAAAATATCCAGAAATGTATGTACAGTTTTTAAATAAACATTTGCTCCCAGATGATGGCTTTACAAGGAAAAGCCTTACATATTTCAGCAGCACAATCACATATTCAAAAGTTTACATATTGCATCTATAACATCATTCATAATAGAATGATAGACGAATCCAGGTGGTGAACTGGCAACCATGCAGACCACACTTTTCACCGAATGAAAATATTTGGTGCACCATGGAAGATAAAATACAACATAGCAAAGCCAAGACTGTTTATCAGCTAGAATCCCATATTAGACAAAAAACAGGACAATATTTGTCTCAAAACATTTGAGATGGTTTGCTTCCTGAGGCATAAAATGCTTTGCTGTCACAGTGAAGATCACAACATAGGACCTTACAGCAGCTTACAGGAACAACTATTCCTTCCTGTGCTTGGACCAGCCATAACCTCTGGCTCCCAGCTATTAACCAAATTTCCAAGGTCCGATTTTATTGCCCTGGCTTCTGTTCCTATTGTTCCACTAATGTGAATAAACAGAATATTTGTTTGTTTTCATCTCAGCGCAAGCTGTGCTCCAGCAGGACTTTTTCTTTTCTTTTCGGTTGCATTTTCAGTTTCTTTAAAAAAAAATGTCCCTAAAATTTATAGTGAAACTACTCCTTAAGCTGGTTTACTCCAACTGATGTAAGATTTCATACCAAATTAAACATTCATCTATTTTCTTACACATCCAGTTCAGGATGTTGGTGGGGCTGGAGGCTACACCAACTGACATAGTGCCAGAGTCAGTGTGCATCATACACAAGTCGCCAGACTGCGGTAGTCTATGCACACAGGGAAAAAGACAACATTCACACTCCTACTGCTAATCTGCACATATCATAAGGTGAGCTATTGAAAATGTTGGTATTTATGTGCTTTGTGTTGTCCAATAGACCATTTTCATTATCCCTGTATTGAGGTTGCAGCAGAAATTTTACAGAAAATATCTATCGGGGTTATCAGAAGGCAGGCAACTTATTCACCAATATTTATTCATTTTTCAGTCTAAGATGCTGGTTTTAGTAAACTGATTAAATGTGGAATTTAATTTAGTAAACAGGATGTATTTACTGGCTCTGCTGAAATACGTTTTATCTATTCCAAGTAAAAACAGTGTTGCTGAATAAAATATAATACAACATTTTATTTAAAATGGTCCAAATTGTCATCCGCATTAAATTCGAATGATCTCAGCTTACCCACAAGTAGCAGCAGCAAGAAGAAACCTGCAATCATTGTAGCCTTGAGTGATCAGAGAGCATCTTCACCCTCTCTGCGCTGTTCAGAGATTCTTCCTACTCTATTGATGTCACTGTCCTGCCCTCTTCAGAGCAAATGTAAAGACCAATTGTGTTTCTACCCGCATATCGATCCTAACACAGTGGGATCAGCACACTATGCATCAGCATAACAGCTGATATAACAGCAACTAATAATGACTTCATGTTATTAACCAAACTTTTGATATACAGCCCAAGCCTCTATCACCCTAGCATCAGTCAGGTTGAATAGTTTATTTTCTTGCTACTTTGGATAAATTTTTTAAAATTGTTTTCTGCCAAAGTGTCCGCACTCTACTCTGACAGGTTTCAGATGCTTTTGTTTTTGACAGTAGGGTTAATCATTAAAAGTGAATGAATCAGACTGACATCAGTTTCATTTAAATCCAAACAGCTGAAGTGCATTAACATTAGCTTTTAATAAAACAAAATAAAAAAACCCCAATAAACTTCAAGATACAGTGACTAAATTGTCTTTTTGAGCAGATGTTGTCACAGATTTACTTGGGTTTTTTTTCTTATTCTACTACAGAAAAAAATAAATCTTTATTGTTCTGGTCTTGTCTATGAAACTAGAGGACTCTACAGTAATCCAAACACTCTTTTGGAGCATTTGTGATATATCCAGACAATAAAGACAATAAATAAAAAGCAATTCATGTTCAGGTGTATTTGTTTAAATAATAATGCAAAAAAATGTGTCAGATTGCACAACTTGTCCTAAAGTTACTGTTATTTAGAGATCTTTGAAAAATATCTAGACAATTGTACATTTCCTTATTAATGTTGGACAGGATGTGGGTTGGAAAGCTCTTAGATTTTCACATATTCATTAACCATGGCAGCACGAGATACCAGTGAGGAGAACAAACACTGCTAAGTGCTCCATTAGAGGAAGTAGAAAGATCCTGTTTGAAAAAAACAAAAAAAACAAAAACCAAGTTATTTATAATGAGTTTATTGTTGCTGGACTCCGCTCAGATGTCAGTGAACAACAGTTGTTTTTTATGCTAATATTCAGGTTATTTACCATCTTTACAAAGCCAAATGCACAAAATTTTATTTTTCAGTGAAACATTACACTTACCTTCAGTTAGGTACCCTAATAGATATACGCAGTACCGTATTCACCACGCTCTCAACAGTGGGGAGACCATTACATGAGAAGCAGGACTACTGAGGAGTTTTTCTCCGCTCAGCCTAACCCTAAGTTTCTTCAACTAGGGTTAGGTTGTTTATTTAGTGTGTGAGAGGAAAATAAACACATCTTGACTGGTAAATTATAGTCTGACTGGTAAATTTTGTCTGAACGACGAAACATTTCAACACACCATTGATTCATAAATGTTGATCTCTCACAGTTGCTCTCTTCCCATGTTCTACTGCGTGACTGATAGCCTTGAGTTTGAAATCCACTTCGTAAGCATGTCTCTTAACAGGTGCCATTTGGGGTCCTTATACACACACAATACAGTAATAATTGTTGAAGCACAGTACATAGCACGCCGCTAGGCTCCCGATTGTTAGCCGTAATGTTCCAACAATCCATCAAGCGGTGCGGCTTAAGCACAACCAGAATTCATACATAAAGCGCACCGGATTATAAGGCATACTGTCGAGTTTTGAGAAAATTAAAGGGTTTTAAGTACACCTTATAGTCTGAAAAATACAGTACTCCGGTTGCTGCCACAAATACACTGAGTTGGCTGTAGCTTTCCAGCTCACAGCCCGACTCCCATGAACAACAACAACACAGACAAACAGCCAACCTTTTTTTGCCGGCAAGTCATGATTACAGATGCAGTGCATTGTTTATGTATACATTATTAATCCTGTAGGAAAATGCTTAGTCCTCTGCATTTGACCCATTCACTGAGTGATGCAGTGGGCAGCTACCAATCCAGGATAGCCTCTGTTCGTTGGATTTGAACGCCCAACCTTTCGATCATGTGGCATCTACTGAGCTAGCTGTGCCCCGAGAGCTGTTCTTTTTTTTTTTTTTTTTTTTTTTTTTTTTTTTTTTTTTGTCACTGTTGTGTTGTACCATCATCCTACACTGTGTGTTCAGTCCATAAATCTGCCTAATTTATTTGTGTCTTTAGTTTAGTTAGCTTTTTCCTTGTTCAGCAATAAAGCTGTTTTTTAAGTTTACGTTTTGTGTCCTGGAGTCTGAATATTGGATCCTTTTCCTGGCTTCCTGCACACATCACATGACGAGGAATTTAAAAAATGTGGGATTTTATCACAGGACAAAAAGGGCCTGTATCCCTAGCAGTATACAAATTTATGAATCTGTCATCAATAATCTTTACGGAGAAAATATGGGGAGATCAGATCAGTCACAGAACATTATATGGATATTATATGGAAATGAATATTATAAAATATCTTGTAAAATACAAGATATACATCCCTAAGATCACAGATCTGGCAAAAGGTTTTTTTTTTTTTTTTTTTTTTTGGCCTGTCCCGTTTGGCTCTTTTGCCATCAGAATTGTTGTCTAAAGGCAAAGAAAGATACCCAACGGATTTTACTTTACCAAATTGACCATCCCAGCCTTGCCGTAATGGTCCATTTGATTCACCTTTTATTGTTTATTTTATTTTCACTTACTGTCACGGCTGGCGGAGTGAGCCGTGTGGAGTGGAGGAAAAGGAGGACCCAAAATGCAGCAAACTGACGATATGAGTGAAGTTTATTTACAAAGGTGGTGGTGGCAAAAACAGGCAACGAGGGATGAGTAATTACAAACCTAAACTGGGAGAAACTAAAGACAAACCTGAGACCATACAAAAGGGGTGCGGAGCAGAGAGACGCAGAGACAGGGACGAAACACCATAGAATGCAGATGAATGCAGAAATACACAGACGAATGCAGACGAGCCGACAACAGGCAGGAGAACACACAGGGCTTAAATACACACACCAGTAATCAGGGGATGAGACACAGGAGGGCAACACAGCTGGGAGGAATCTGAGCTGACGGAACAGGGGAAACGTAAACTGAGCACACTCACATATGACACAGACCTTCACAATAAAACATCACACGCAGGCTCGACACCGAGAGACAGACAGGAAATACATATGAAACTAAACCTGCATCTTAAACCCAGATAAACAGAAACATGGAACTCTAATAATAGAAATCATAATCA